TGCAATCCTCCTGCCTCAGCCTCCCAAATTGTAATCCCAAATTGCTGGGATTACAGTAGTGGGTGGTGCCCCAGTGCACTTTTTAATGTAACCTATTTGTAATATCCTTTTACTATCTGGAGACAGAATTCTTAAATAATATAAGCACTCTACACATGCAATTTCAAAAAGAAAATCCATACCTTTTTTTTTGTGTGTGTGTGTTATTAAGGATTGAACCCACAGGTGCTCTACCACTGAGCTACATCCCCAATCCTTTTTATTTTTTTAATTTTGAGATGAGATCTTGTGAAATTGCCCAGATTTGCCTCAAGCTTGTGTTCCTGCTGCCTTAGCCTCCCAAGTCACTAGAATTTTTTTAAGTTATAAATGGACACAATACCTTTATTTTATTTGTTTTCATTTTTGTGTGGTGCCAGGGATAGAACCCAGTGCCTCATGCATGCTAGGCAAGCGTTCTACCACTGAGCAACAACCCTGGCCCCAAGTCACTAGAATTTTAAGTGCACCACCACACTGGGCTCATATAGTATTTTATACAATATGCATATTTTATTAACTATAATACTAATATGAAATAAAAGGGAAATGACTTATAATAATGTATATTTCAATATGTAAATGCTTGGGTGTGGCACTCTTTAGGATATTCAAGAAAGAAATTAGTGGCTTATAAGACCCTATAATAAATAAATATGGATTTAGGAGATGGGGGAAAGTTCAGGAAAAATGATAGGCAAAATCATTTGGATGAGAGTTTACAAAATAGTAAATCGTGCCAAGGGAAGTGCACCACAAACCAAAGTACAGTCTCATCTCGACTTACAAAGACAGACACATTTCTGGATAATTCAGGGTATATTAGAACCAGAAAAAAGAAATGGCATTTGACTGAAGTAGGTTACAGTCTAGCTTATGTTAATTATAAGTTCAAAGTCCTAGGGGATGCAGGACATATGGTGGTGGTGTGGTATTGCCATGCAGATCACTGGCTGGCCAGCATCCTTGCCCTAGACCCCTAAATAGGACACCTTACACTCCATTATTGTGGCAACCAAAAATGCTCCTACAAATTTCCAAAATGTCCCCTAGGGGGCAGCAATGGCTTTGTTGAGAAAGGCACTGGTTCTTAGGCATTGTACACTGTGTCCCTGTGTGAAGAGGCAGAGTATAAGATCGACTTCCATCTCGTGTGTGTGTGTGTGTGTGTGTGTGTGTGTGTGTGTGTGTGTGTGTGTGTGGTGTGGTGTGCACGGGCACGTGCACGCTTGTGTGTGCATGCGTGCCCAGGAGAGAAAGAGAGAGAATGTGTTTGTTATTCATGTATGAGTTGGTTGCTGTCCAAAAGGCTCCATAGCCACAGGTTGTGTTTGTGGAAATCTGCGAGTTTGCATGTGAGAGTGCCCAGGCACCAGCACAGGTGTGATCTGTGGGTGCACACACATCCTTAGCCTTAGCTGGGACCCAGTTGTGGCTGCTAGTCTGTGCTCAGGAGCACCCCATCATCACTTACAACAATCTCCCCAGTTTTCCCAGAAACACCAGGGCTATGTTTGCTGCCATTGTTTTGTAAGGGTTTTTATTATTATTATGATTTGTTTGGGTTTTTTCTGTTTTAGCTTTTGTTTCCACTGAGACTCAAGGTTACTCATTATTCACCTTCTCAGTCTTAGCGTGTCTCTCTATGTTTCCCCCCATCTTTATTTTTGTCTCTCTATCTTTCATTTACCATCTCTCTCTAGTCTTCTAGATCTTTCTTTCTGTTGTCATCCCTTTTTCCCCCCTCTCCTTTTCTATCTCTGACTCTATTCCTTTTCATTTTCTGTTGTGATGTTTCTCTATGTGCCTGTCTGTATCTTTTTTCTCACTCTTCTTCCCCTTTCTGTCTCTATTTCAATCTCTTCCTTTCTCCTCTTTCTCTGTTTCTCTTTCCCCCTCCTGTGTCTCCATCTGTCTCTCTCACACATACACACCTCTCTTTTCTTTCACTATGTGTCTCTCTAAATTTCTCTTACATTCAGTCTCTATTTCTGTCCCTTTCCTCTTGCCTCCCCTAAAGGCTAAGGAGTGTGTGTGTATGTGCACATACTTGTGCACAGGCATGGGTGTGTGCACATGTACACATACCCAGATGAAGGCTGCCCTCCAGTTCTGAGAGGGGGCCACCAGAACTTGAGGGACTGAAAGAGAGCCCACCCCTCCTTCTCCTAACACCTGTCCTAGACCCCTCCTATGCCAGTAAGCCAATGACTCTGAGACTTCACAGATCCATAAAAAACAAAACCAAACAAAAAACAAAAGACAAAAAACCCCCACAAACTGGTTCTAGGAGGCTGTAGCAGACTAGGTAGGACTGGGTCAGGAAATAGTATAGAGAGAAAACTTTAGGAAGGAGGTGGTAGGAAAATATCCATTTAAGCTCCACCTCCTCCAGCCCATCCCAGCCCAGCCCAGCCCCAGCCCCAGCCCCAGCCCCAATAGCAATTGTGAGTTTCTCCAGCTTATGTTCAAGTAGCTCAGCTACCTTCCCTCTGGGCCCTGCCCAGTTGCCTTTTCAAATCCCAAAATTCTATACCTGCACACACCAGATCCTCTCCTGATTTCCCCAAGCTCAGCTGTGCCACTCTCACTACCAGACACAATCCCCAGGCCATTCTTTCAGCAAATCCTACATGGATGCCCTCAGGGAGTCCTCTCTACTCACCAGCCCATTTAGTCCCTCAGTCAATTTATTTGACATCGTTTCTGAGAACCTACTGTGTACTCAGTACTACTACTATATAGGGCTGAGGTTGTGGCTCAGTGGTAGGGTGCTCGCCTAGCATGTGTGAGGCCTGGGTTCAATCCTCAGCACCACATAAAAATAAATAAATAAAATAAAGATTATGTGTTCAACTATAGCTAAAAAAATATTTTAAAAATAAATTATATCGTGTGTTAGCAAGAGAAATTCTAGGAAGAAAAAATAAAGGAGAGAACCAGGAATGGGAATGTTGTGACCTCTCCTCTCACCTGTATTACTGCAGGATCCTCTGATTAGTCTCCCCACTTCCACCATTGCACCATATGATCTGTTCTCAGCAGCAAGTGGGATCCTGTTCAGTCCTAAATCATATCACACCTCACCTCTGCTCAAAACCCATTTCATTGTGAGTCAAAGTCAAAGTCCTTACCATGGCCTCTGTGGTCTTTCCTTGCCACCTTTTCTGACCTCACCTGGAAGCACTTGCCCTTTGTTCATTCTGTTCTACTAACTCCTTCCTTGCTTTTTCTCAAATGTGCCATACATTGCCCCACCCCAGGGCCTTCGTTCAGGTTGTTCCTATTGCCTGGATTTCTCTTCCCTCAAATAGCCATGTGACTCTCTTCCTCACTTCCTTCAGGTCTTTGCTCAAATAACATTTCCTCAGTGAAAATTTCCCTGTCTGCCTCATCAAAGACTGCAGTACCTTCCCCAGCCCTAGTACTTCCTATTCTTCTTCCCTCCTTTATGTTTATTCATAGGAATTTGTCATCATCTGATATACCAACTTTGCCTGTGTCTCAGTGTCATCTTCACAAGGGCAGGGATCTTCATCTATCTTGTTCATCTGTCTTATCCTCAGTACTTAGAATAGTGCCTGGCATATAGTAGATACTCAACAAATAAATATTTTTTCAATGAATGAATGAACACATACAAGCATGCTTCCATCTGTGTATTCATGCATATTCCTCATCTCACCCAAAGTAAAAACCAAAGTCCTCTTCATGGCCCACAGTCTATACTACTTGACCCTGGACACGTGTATGACCTTACCTCCTACCACTGCCTCCCTCACCTATGCTACTTTTGTGACACTAATCTTTCCATTGTTCCTGGAGCATGCTGAATGCGTATCTGATCTTGAATAAAGAAATCTAGGGGCCGGGGTTGTAGCTCAGTGGTAGAGCACTTGCCTAGTACATGTGAGGCATTGGGTTCAATCCTCAGCACCACATAAAAATAAATAAATAAAATAAAGGTATTGTGTCCATATACAACAACAACAAAATTTTTTAAAGAAGCCTTGTTATCCTAAGAAAAAATTTTAAATAGAAATCTATTTGATGAATGACTGCCAGCATGTTTTTTTTAAAAAAAGATGAAATAGAAGCCATGCATGGTGGCACACACCTATGATCCCATCAACCAGGGAGGCTGAGGCAGAAGGATCAAAAGTTTGAGGACAACTTTAGCAACTTAGCAAGGCTCTAAGTACCTAAGTAAGACCCTGTCTCAAAGTAAAAAATTAAAAGGCCTGGAGATGTAGCTCAATGGTAAAAGGCCCCTGGGTTCAATCCCCAGTACAAAAGGAAGGAAGGAAGAAAGGAAGGAAGTGATGGGGGGGGGAGGAGAAAAGAAAGAAAAAAGTAATAAAATAGAATGGAGTACACTACACATGGGATCAGTTCTGTTTTTTGAAACTTGGTGAGTTGTGTGTGTACTGGGTTGTGGTGTAAAATATCCTTTTTACTGTGGGTGATGGTCAAAAAAGTTTTAACACAACTTTGAGGCTTTAAAAAGGGGGAAAGGAGCCCCAACAACATTCCTGTCCCCACAGACGCACAAGTGGAGGAAATGGGTAACTGAGGACATCCAAAGAGATGAAGTATTTGCACTCAGCAAGGAAGGGGTAGGAGCAGGAGTGGGCCAGACTCAGGGCCTGATCCTAACTAGGGAGTCAGTGGGAAGGGTTCACAGACACACTAACCCTGGCCTCTATGTTTCTTCCTCACCTTTCCTTTCCACCCATTTCTCACTGTCTCTCATTTGTCTCTGTTTCATATCACTCTTTTTTATCCTCTTATCCTTTCCACATCTGTGTTGTTTTATATCCATTTATAACTTCGTCACCATTTCTCTCTCTCTCATTCTTTCCTACTGTCTCCACATATTTGTGTGCATTTTTCTGTTTCTCTCCTGTCCTCACTTCTCTGTCTCTCTGTGTCTGTGTCTCCCTCACTGTCCCCACTTACAGGTGCAGCCCAGCAGGACAACTGATGGAGTCCCCCAGGGCCCATCAAGTACCGGACTGGCTGACCCCCTAGGGTTGGGAGTAGCCCTTGCCCCTCAGTATGGCCAACACCACCGGAGAGCCCGAGGAGGTGAGCGGCGCACTGTCCCCGCCGTCAGCATCGGCTTACGTGAAGCTGGTGCTGCTGGGACTGATCATGTGCGTGAGCCTTGCGGGCAACGCCATCTTGTCCCTGCTGGTGCTCAAGGAGCGTGCCCTGCACAAGGCTCCTTACTACTTTCTGCTGGACCTGTGCCTAGCTGATGGCATACGCTCTGCCGTCTGCTTCCCTTTTGTGCTGGCTTCTGTGCGCCACGGCTCCTCATGGACCTTCAGTGCACTGAGCTGTAAGATTGTGGCCTTTATGGCTGTGCTCTTTTGCTTCCATGCGGCCTTCATGCTGTTCTGCATCAGCGTTACCCGCTACATGGCCATTGCCCACCACCGCTTCTACGCCAAGCGCATGACACTCTGGACATGCGCAGCTGTCATCTGCATGGCCTGGACTCTGTCTGTGGCCATGGCCTTCCCACCCGTCTTCGACGTGGGCACCTACAAGTTTATCCGGGAGGAGGACCAATGCATCTTTGAGCATCGCTACTTCAAGGCCAATGACACGCTGGGCTTCATGCTTATGTTGGCCGTGCTCATGGCAGCCACACATGCTGTCTATGGCAAGCTGCTCCTCTTCGAGTACCGTCACCGCAAGATGAAGCCAGTGCAGATGGTGCCAGCCATTAGCCAGAACTGGACATTCCATGGCCCTGGGGCCACAGGCCAGGCTGCTGCCAACTGGATCGCCGGCTTTGGCCGTGGGCCCATGCCACCAACCCTGCTGGGTATCCGGCAGAATGGGCATGCGGCCAGCCGGCGGCTGCTGGGCATGGACGAGGTCAAGGGTGAAAAGCAGCTGGGTCGCATGTTCTACGCGATCACACTGCTCTTCCTGCTCCTCTGGTCACCCTACATCGTGGCCTGCTACTGGCGAGTGTTTGTGAAAGCCTGTGCTGTGCCCCACCGCTACCTGGCCACCGCTGTTTGGATGAGCTTCGCCCAGGCTGCTGTCAACCCAATCGTCTGCTTCCTGCTCAACAAGGACCTCAAGAAGTGCCTGAGGACTCATGCCCCTTGCTGGGGCACAGGAGGTGCCCCGGCTCCCAGAGAACCCTACTGTGTCATGTGAAGCAGGCGGGTAGGCAGACAGGCAGGGAAAAGGTCATGGCCACCATGGTGGGGCCAACGGCAAGGGAGGGGTGGGGCCCCATACAGGAGCCTTCTTTTCTGAGCTCCAGCCCCAGCCCCTCGAACCACCCATAATCCAGGCACCTTTGCCAATACCACCCTAGGGTGGGGGACTGGGAAAGAGGCATCCTAGTTTTGTGGGGCCTGTCTCTGCAGCCTCCTTCTCTACTTCTACAGTCTCTCTCTCTCTCTCTCTCTCTCTCTCTCTCTCTCTCTCTCTCTCTGACAATTCAGAAAAAGAAAACAAAACTGAAAATGCAGGTTTTTCTACTAACAGATAAGGAGGCAGGCTTTCTTGCTTTAATGTCTCTCCTTCTGACATTGTCCAGAAGGGGGAAATTTGTCCTGTAAAATAGAATTCCAGAGCTCTTATTGCCCCTTTTGCTCCCAGGCACCCTCCCCTTCCAAGTCCTTTAGCAAGGCCTGGATGTTTAGGGAGAAACTTATCCAAGGCTGCCAACAAGAGGGACCAAAAGGGGTGCTAGGTCCCCAGGGAGCAAGGATGTCTATTGCTATGTTGTGTGCAATGTCGTTTTTGGCTAATGCTGGTCCCAAGCCCAGTCTTCTCTCCCTCCCCACCATGTCCAGACCTCTCTAGTGCTTCTTGAGGATCTATTTGAGAAGCCAAGAGGGTAGAGAAAAGGGCCTCCATGATGGGCCCAAAAAACTAGGTAAAGAGTAGGATGTGAGCTGAACTCCTTGAGCTAAAGAGATCGAGCGTAGCCACATTCTCTCACACCATCTCCTGGATCCCTAGCCCAATAACTCTTCTTCCTGAGGATGGAAACCCACTCCAGCCCCACTAGGGCTGTAGGTGTCATGCAGGCAGGAGCAGCCCCTCAGATGTGTAGGGAAGAAGCTGAACTCCCCAGAGTACCTTGGACCCCAGAGCCTGAGGTCAGAGCTGAATTCAACCCCAGAATTTCTCCCAGGTTCACACTACTCTTCTGAAGATGAGAATTCTTTTGGGGCCTTGGTAACTGATAGTGGTATAAACCCCAAGGCACTGTGGACTTGAGTCCATTCCTATCTGACCTCTTTTTGTCCCCCTAAAGCCTTGGGCCACAAGCCCCTCCTTGGTAGCCCTTGGCCTTCTGGGTCAGCCCCAAATGTCCTTCCTCACAACAATCCTTCAATCCCTTCCTCCTTTCCACCCTTACCTACACCCAAAGTGGAGCAGACTGCAACCAGATTACTTAGGTGGGAGTTTCCAAGCCTCCCTCCAGGGACAGAATCTACTCTGGGCTTACTTCAAGGCTAGTTCTGTGAATTGGTAAGCCAAGTTGCCACTCCTTTACCTGGCCTTGCCCAGGCTTTCTGTCCCCCTATAATTTCCTTCAGAGGCAGGGATCTATCTGTATTTATCCACCCCCCTTTACCTTTCTTACAGAAGCCCCTGTCCTAAGATCCCTCCCTACCCCAAGACAGCCCCTGAACTGGGGAAGCCTTGACCCAAAAGAAATGAGGAGGGCACTCTAGGCAGGAGAGACATTAATGAGCCTAGCTGTGGAGTGACCCTGGAAAGGCAGGCCAGAGTGGCTGAGAGGCTGGGAGTGGGGGGGGGGTACCTGTTCTCTCAGTGATAGTGATGGGGGTGCCTTTCCGAGGGGTGGGGTGGGAAGACCAAGGGGGTGGGGGGTAGATAGGGTACACTCAGGAGGGTTTTCCTCCATTTCTTTTTTCTAACTGCCTGGATTCACCATTGGATTTTGTAAATGGAAAAACGAAATGAACAATGCTATATTGGATGTTTTCTCTTTCTGATTGTGTGTGTGTGTGTGTGTCTGTGTCCTGTCTGTGTGACCATATGTGGGGAAGTATGACTGAGTAAGACAGGATGTGTCTGTGTGACTTTGTGTGTGAGGAGACACCCCTGAGGAGAACTTGCCTGGTGCACACATATGAGTAAATGCCTGTATGCAGAGATGTATACATTGCGTGTGCGTGAACACACACACACACACACACACACACACATACACATCCATCTAGTTGAGAGGAGACAAACTAGAGTATGTGCCTGCCCTGAGGAGAACTTGCCTGGTGCACACATATGAGTAAATGCCTGTATGCAGAGATGTATACATTGCATGTGCGTGCGCGTGCACACACACACACACACACACACACACATATACATACACATCCATCTAGTTGAGAGGAGACAAACTAGAGTATGTGCCTGCAGCAGGAAGTAGTGTGTTCAGGAGACAGAACCTGGAAATTATGTGTATGTATTTAGCAAGAGGGCTGACTCCCATCTCATAAGATCATCCTCTCTTGGCCCAAGCTCTGAGCACCAGGTGAAAAAGGCAGGGTACTTGAGAATCCCATCTCCTCCCAAAGCCTGGAGTCTCAGTCCCCTTCCTCAAACTCAAACAAGATGTTCTTGAAATTGGATGACCATGGAGAATGGGGGAAGGGAATTGGGGATAAAATATTGGGGAAACTGATGGGGTTAGGAAATACCCCCCCCCCCAAAGTAATGGCACTGGAGAATTGCTCAGTCTGGGCTAGGAGCCTTTCCCAAGGATCCACTATATACAGCTGGGACTTTGGTCAACTTTGATTAAATTCAGAGGCAGGTGCAGCAGGTCTGGGGTCTACCCAGCTGGCCTACTCCCTGCACACTTGATTTACTATTTATTTATTTATTTATTTATTTATTCTCTCAGGTGCACGGAACTGAGTGGACTATACTCCTCAGTTCTTGGCACAATATATCATCATTGGTCCATGCAAGGCCCTTTTATTTTTTGTTTTGTTTTGTCCCCTTCATCACCCATCCCTGATCCCATCCTCCCCCACTCCATATAGGCACCCACTCGTGTATTTAACGTTGTCCTTCCAATCCACCGATCATGTGTTTCTTTACATATGTGTATCTGTGTAAAATATATGGTATTGTTGTGTGTTTTAATTTACATAAACAGTATTGTACTATAAATCTTGTTCTGTTTCTTTTTTCACTCAATATTATGTTTTTGAGATCCAGCCATATTGCTGTATATAGATCTAATTCATTGTAGTGGTCCATCTTAAACATATATCACATTTTTCCAATCCATTACCCTGGTGATGGATCCCTAGGTTCACTTCCATTCTTTGCTACCACAACAAGGCTGCAATGGGAAGCTACCTACATCTCTTTAGGAACTAGGGATGCCTAATTTAGAGAAGAAGCTCAGAGAGGTGCAGTGATTTGATTAGGGTTACAATGTGAGGGTCACACTCATTCCAGACCCAAAGCCAGAATTCCACTAACCACCATGCCTCGCCAAAGACCATCCATCTCTGGTCAAAAACAAAATCTTAAGATATAATTAAAAGCAGTATAAATGGAGGAAAGGATGGAAGGGAAGAGAACTGTTCAATAGATTAAGAGAAAGTCCTAGAAAAATCTAGCAGATGAGCTGAATCGCTATCATTTTTTATGACGCAGAGGCAGTTACTTTTTTGTGTAAGTATTGTTTCTAGAACCATTTTGCAGAGATGGAAAATGCCACGTCAAAACCTAGACCCCAAATCAAAGACCTTGAGTGCCTAAACTGCAGGAGCGCTAGGGCAGCTGGCACTCTAAGTGGATACATTAGAGTTGACCACGGGGGCAGAAGCAGGAGATGGGGGAAGGGGCAGATTTAAGAAGTGCGTAGTTGCTGAGGAGAGGGGGGCGGGGGAACGATAGCGAGGCTCTTCGATTTTATTTGAGCACATCCTGCTCACTGCGTTTGTTTTTCGTCTTGTTTTTTGGTCTTCAGAACCACTGGTACTTTTCCCATTGGATAAACGTTTTAAGAGTGAGGGAGAGGGGCTTCTTCCCCTAGCTTTCCTCGCAACCAATCGTTTGGCAGTTTTCCTCTCTTCGCCGGGGTAGCCAGCCCGCTGATTCGCGGGTTTGAGGAGAGCCAATTGGAAAGTGATGATGTGTAGTGTTGGCAAGCAGATTGCGTGAGAGCGGGCAGGGGTCGCAGGAACGCGAGCGCCGCCGCGGCGGCCGGCAGCCAATGACGAGGCAGGCAGGCTCCTTGCGTCAGGCAGTGGGCGGGGCCTCGCGATTGGCGCGGAGGGAGTAGGGCAAGCGCTGTGGGAGGGAACGCCAGAGCGAGGCGGTGAGCGGAGCTGGTCGCGTGAGGCGCAGCGGCTGCACTTGAGGTGTAACTGGTAGCGGCGGCCGGCCAAGAGCAAAGGAGCTAGTGCTATCTCCTGAGCTTGTGAGCGCGGTCACCATGGACCGCCCGGATGAGGGGCCTCCGGCCAAGACCCGCCGCCTCAGCGGCTCGGAG